CCAGGCTGGGGATTCGAACCCGCCACCTTAGGTGTATGTGGCTGGCGCCTTAGCCGGTTGAGCTATAGGCGTCGAGCCGAACAGTTACTTAATTGATGAAATTATTAGATGTTTAAGTATAAAATCTAACACTTCTGCAGTATTAAATATAGTCTACCCTCTTTCCTTGGAATTATATTCTGCTAATTTTCCTCTTATCTCTTTGTGCATTCATTAGTCATGTTTGCAAGTTTTTCCATTTACCTCTTTTAATATTTAGAATTCCTATCTTAAATCACTTCTCTCCTTCCATCTTCTTCCTGTACAATCGTTCCCACCCTGTGATGTTTACCAAATCTGTATTTCAAACCACACTTACTGCTAAGCTCTAATTCTATATATTATGACTCAGTATATGTTCAAAATCCTATCTCAAAGTGAAATTATCTCTACACACACCAATTTTTTCCTGTCTCAGAGAATGGTGTAATCATCCCTCCAGGTGTTCAAGAGAGAAACTTGAGTGTCTCTTTTGGTCCTTTCTGCTCTCTGTCTCACCACTTCCACACCACACACATCTGACAGATCAGTAAGTCCTCTCAGTTCTACTGGTTAAGTATCTCTCTCTCTTTTTTTTCTTAATCAGGCCCTGGTAAGGTTCAAACTAGAAGCACCTGGTTTGTAGGGCCGGCGCTCTACCTACTGAGCTCTGGTGTCCAACTTAAATATCTCTTGGACCTGTTGGCATTCTCCCTCTCCTCCTACTTAGTCTGCCCTCATCTCCCAGCATTACTCAGTAGTTTCCTTCCCGATTGATGGGTGTGAAACTCTCCCAGTCCATTGTCCAGGTTATTCCCAGAGCGAGCTTTCTTAAACACAGATTTAATCATGTTAATCTTTTGCTGAAAAATCACCAATAACTCCTATTCCTTTGTTCTCAGTATAAATGTAGCTCCTTAAAGCTATTCCATGCATGAGATTATATAATCTAGCTGTTACTTCTCTCTTGCCAACTCTTCGGTGCTTCTTTTTTACTTCTGGCTTTGCAAACATGCTGCTTTCTCTAGCTGGCCCTTTCCTCACCCCATCAGGGAGACTGGCTAACTGCAGACTGCTTTCAGCCTATGTGTCACTCCCCATAAGCCTTTCCTGGTGTCTCGGAGGGTTGTTTATGTGTCATCCTTGTGATGTCATGTTGCCTTCTAAGTGTGTCTCCAATGTGACATTTATCCTTCTGACACACCTGTCTAGTTCTTCTACTAAGCCGCAGACTTCTTGAGGGCAGGAACTTTATCATTTTCCTTTATAAGCTTAGAGTTTTTAGCATATACTAGGGACGTAATAAATGACGGACGTGCAAAATATCTTATGTATATTTTATATATTTTTCTTTTTTAAAACACATATTTAACCAACAAATTACATTTGTGTTTTTCTTATAACACATGGTAATGTACAGCTTTAATAACTGTAAATTTCTCTTTACAGAAAAAAGTTATCTCAGGTTTAGTGAATAAACCAAAACAAGATGATGGTGGAAGAATTGCAGCTAGAAATCGCCTGGCTGCTATAAAAAGTGCAATGAGGGAGAAGATGAAGCAGGGAGAACGTGGGGAAGCAGCAGCCTCTGTGATGCCAAAGGAGGTTGATAAAATAGTGTTTGATGCTGGATTTTTCAGGGTTGAAAGTCCCGTTAAATCATTTTCAGGTTAGTTTTTTTAAAGAGGCTACTTTATATAAGTATGTGGGTGGTGGAGGAGTATTTGTACAAAGGGTGAAAAGTAGTTTTCTCATGAAGAGATCTAAGTTCTGTGATTTCTCACTCACATATCCACATCACTATTGGAAGGCTATGACCAGATAACTCTGAGAAGGAAACGTCTTACCACATAAGACATTCACCCTGCAATCTGTGAGGAGGGTCACAGGCTTCCCAGAGGTCAGAGAAATGACACAAGCATGAGAAGTAGAGTCACTTGCTTCCGGTCAGAGTTTAAGATGCAAGGGAAGCGTGGGCATCAGACCTCTATTTCTCTATACTTTAAAATAAAGCTCATGAAAGTGAGTTTGTCTTTATTTTTATTTGTATTCAAACTTTTGTTCAAATCTGGTTTTTCTATTTTTTTTTTTTTTTTGACACAGAGTCTCACTATGTTGCCTTCAGTAGACAGCCGTGGTGTCACAGTTCACAGCAACCTCAAACTCTGGGGCTCAGGCGATTCTCTTGCTTCTGCCTCCCAAGTAGCTGAGACTACAGGCACACACCACAATGGCTATTTTTTTGTTGTAGTTGTCATTGTCGCGTTTAGCAGGCCTGGGCCGGATTTGAACCTGCCAGCCTTGGTGCATGTGACCAGCGCCATAACCACTGTGCCATGGATGCTGAGCCCCTTTTAATTCTTTTTTTTTTTTTTTTTGAGACACACTCTCACTTTGTTGCCCTCTGTAGAGTACTTTGGC